CGTAGATTGATTTTTGTTGTGTGTGTGAAATGTACTATGACGTGTTAATCTTGTGTTTAGGGAGCCGATAATCGAACCGTTGATTATTACGAAAAAAAAAATAATTATTATCGTTGACGCTTCGAATATGATTCAAAAGGTGGATGATTCTTTTGCACAATATTGACTAAACTGAAAAACAATTTAAATCCTACAAATGGCTCGGTAAACGCCATCTGTAGTACAATGCTACATTTTACGAATAAAGAAGTGTTATGTCGAAGCTGTCTGCAATCCGCTGATGAGATCCAACGAGATCGAAATCGCTATCCGCGTCTGGCAGTTTCGACAGAATATTGACCACTTCGAATTTCTGTATTCGATTATGGTAACGTGCTTTTCACGTGGTGGTGAGCTACGCCTGGATAGATAGTGATCCGTAAAATGTAGCATTGGACTACAGATGGCGTTTACCGCGCCATTTGGAGGATTTCATAAAACGCACTGTTAAGACAGCAGGTAAAAGTTGGTCTGTGTTCTATCGAAACTGTCTGCGACGCGCTGATGAGATCCAATAACATAGAAATTGCGATCCACGTCTGGCAGTTTCGACAGCATACTGACCACTTCGAAATTCTTTATTTGATAAAAAATCCTCTCTCAATTATTTCTGTATAAAATATAAGAATAACCATTGAAGCTCTGTCATTCCAAGATTAATTTTAAATCAAGACAATCCATATATATATACATCTAGATTTGAACTCCAATAAAAAAACGCTAAACTTTTGCTGCGTAAGCATTCACGGTTATTAGTATCCAAATTTCTCCTTCGGGCTTTAAGGCACGGATGAAGTCATAAGTTTTCAGTATCAAAGACATCGCCGCTCCTTACTACGTATTATTCTGGTATTATTACTAGTTCAGTGCACGTGGTCTATTAGTGGAGAGTTACAATGTAAAAATAAAGCGTTTAGTATGAAAAAGCAAAATTTTGATAAACGCAGTTCACAAATATTCGACAAATTGGTAATAGCTTTCGCGGTCAGTAGGTGAACTGATTTTGTTCTGATTCGAGAGTAATTAAGGCCGTCATGCGTTCGAGTTGCTTGCTAATGTTTCGCTAGCGTCCTCCCATATGCGGACCAGCATGCGACATCGAAGATGGAAGTACCTCTGAAGAAGCTTGCTTCTCGTGCTAGCGAAACATTAGGAAGCAACTACAATCGACGACGGCCTTTCGACAAGAATCTGAACGGCATGTTTGGCAAGTATTTATTAAAAAAACATTTATTAGAAATGTATTGTATTCTAGTACCTACCTAGTTGTCGGAAAACTTTTAAGGGAGTGGGGGGAGTTCGTAATTTTCTTATGATTTCTTACGATAGGGAAGGGGTACAAAATCCGTCTTATGTGAGATTTTTTGCTAACCATATTGCGTATGTGGTGGTGTAATTTCTAAATTCAGTGCTGAATGTTTTGTCTCATTTGTGTGCATAATTTAAAACATATAAAACCAGAAATAATTAAATTTTTGAATTTTGTGGAAAATAGCTTATTTTTCAACATAAAAATTTCGCACAGTAATATCAATATTTTTATAAAAAATTGTGTTACACATAAGTACTACTTTCATCAAAAAATTAACCAAATCGTTTTATTAGAATTCTCGTATTTTTTATCATTTTTATAAGATAAAACAACCTTTTATTCGGGCAATTAACAATGTTATATATACGCATCAAGCTTTCGTTCCCAGGTAGTAAGTACCTACCCAGATATATATATATATTGGTATAAATATAAATATACGTGATATGTATTTAAACAACATCCCCGCTTCGTGCGATTTACTTAGGCGCATCATCCACGAGGACGATTGACAGCTGGTCCGTCTGATGATAAATTGTTGTACACATCCCAAAACGTTGGTTTCTTAGTTGAACATTTTCCCCCTTCGCTTGAGCTCGTTTCGTTGGGAAAAACACTGCTGCTGTAAACACGCCGTTAAATTCTAGTTAAAAGCGGAATCGATAGCCACGGAAATAAGCCGTAAATAATACATTATCCACCGATGATTCTTGCTTAATACTCATCGCCGCGCATAATTCAATTATTAATTAATTTATCAAGCCGAAGGGGCACGCCTCCTCTCTTCTTCAGACGTTTCAAATGAATTTCTCATGAGGTTCTTCTAAATAGCTACCACTTAGCGTTTTTAATAAGCATTAAATAAAATGCAATGGGTTCTCATTATCCACGACTTTTTTCTGTCCGAAGCACTAGTTATATGCCACTCAAAATTTGTCACGAGAAGCAAGCTTAATGAGTCATTTTCAAGGTAACTAGTTGATTACTAGATGATTAACGTTGAAATCTAATGTCAAGATTAAGTCGGTTTTTTTAAATAGAAACCCCTATTCTTTACTCCGGGTTCGGAGAGCGCAAAATTCTATTTTTGCGATAAAAAATTTAAGAAATGTTAAAATAACAATAATTTTGACCTAAGAGACCTAAATAATCATGTGGTGACCCTGAATCTTATCTTTGAAGAAAAAGTGGAGCTTATTTTGGGGTGAGAAGCTCATAAATCAAAATTGGGAACGGAAAATTAGGCATTGGTTAAAAACTTTTACCGTAAAATGACCTTAAATTTCTGAAAAACTGATTTAACCTTGAAATAACTAAAGAACAAATCAAGGTCACCAGTAAATATCCCCATTATACAACTTTTGTCAAGACAGTTTTTTGATGTAAGCCTGTCTCTTATGTATATAGAGTAATAATATTTTTTGGTCATTTCTTTATGAAAATTTTGAAAAAAGTATCCATCTAAAACGGAACACAGTAGGGGGAATTTCAAAAAAGTAATCCTAACAATATTTGTTAAAGTAGGTATATGACATTTTTTATTTTTGAAAATTTTTTATTTGAATTTTTGGGTGAATAACTGCGAATACTCAATAATGTTTGTTTAACAATTATGCGGTGTATCTAGAGTATACAAAAAAATCATAAAAATTTGTTATTTTGAGATAGAAAAAAAAATTATTTCCTATGCTTAACATTATCTAACAATGTCAAATGAATTAATAAAACAATGAAATTCACCATTTCCCATTCCTGAGATAAATTATAATAATCCAATAATGTAATTCAATTTGCAAGTAATTAATACTATAAATCATATTAATAAACAATCAACGAATTGAATGTACAATTTTCTTCAACAATCCCCTTCAATTCACGACTAACAGGTGTGTGACATGTTCAGTCCAATAGAACATTCTACCACCTTGTTAGTAGCGATTGGCCTCGTCATCAAAGAATATGTAAAAGCATCGAAGAGGAACACAAGTCAAAGGCCGACAGTACCTACAGTAGAAACTTCGTGGAGGTCGAAAAGTACGGCTCTTCTGTTTCATATTAAACTTGAAGCTCCCTGCATGGACACACACATATACACAAACGCAAATATACATACATATAGACACATTTACACATCACAATCGAACGCCATTCTGGAGAGTCTGTACCATAGCCGTGGTGTTTGCTTCTGTCAAGTATTATGAGTGACAGCGGAGCAGAATGGCCGACTTGGCTGGTGTTTGTCGGTGGTTTGGCTCGTCTACTGACTGACGATGGTTGATGACTTGCACTAATTCCCCGTTCTGGGGATGTCAAAGTTGCAGCAGATCGTGACGCGGATAGCGTCATCTTCAATTATGGCGCGGGAATCGGGATGTTAGGCATATGTTGCGATATCTACCTACTCGGATCAATATCGAATTACCGCTATTAAAACGAGGATACAATAACAGTTATCTTAAAGTCAAAATCTCTCCTTATAGTCTATGTCTTTACCGAGAAATTTACAAAACATTCTCGTGAAAGGGTTTATTACCCGAGATAAAAATGTTCAGTCTCTCAGAGTCTCTGAAAGCGAGACTCGAGTCTCCGTCTTTAATCGAGTCTCTCTGGTGTCGCTGAGAGAGACTGTCAAAAAATCTGTTTAGCGTCTCTGAACGAAAGATCCGAGTCGCTCATAGAGATATCCTCATTTCGTATCCAGTTTCTGAACGGGAGACTCGAATCTCTGAACGAGAGACTCGAATGTCTGAATTAACAATTTTATCGTTCGAGTCTCTCATACAGAGACTGTGAGAGATCTATAAAAACACCTAGGCAATAATTGAGAGACTGTGAAAGACTGTAAGAGACGCTCTCAGAGACGCTGAAAGAGTCTGAGAGACTGGAGAGCGACTGAAAATTGTTATCTAGGGTAGTTATCAAATTATTCGAACGAAACTAACTTACTCAGAACAGTTTATGATTTGTATTTTATGTTTAAGTAGTGTGTGAAGGGAGCAAAAGACCAATACGACTGAAACATCCTTCATAATTCATTTAAATCAATAAAATGATATTGAATTTATTTCTACTTGTATTTAATTTGGGATAATGTGAACTGAATTCTTATTATATCGTAAACAAAGGATTATTCCGGCGCTTTAACGTGGTATAAAATCTAGAAATCTAAAGGCACCCTTGTAGCGGATGACTTTAACTGTATTCGCCTTTGAGTGCACCTAAGGCTTCCCACCTATTCGAATTGGTTGAGCAATAATTATGAAATTGTTTTCAAAAATGATAAGTATATCTTAACGATGACATTCTGTGTTATTGTTCCGATAAGTGGATGCAGGTCATCGTCCATTACATTGGCTTTACATCTATTTCTTTCTTAGAGCCCATCAATCGGTATAGATCTATATGTTGCTCCTGTGTCATGTTATTATATTTTTTGTATCTCAAAAACAAGAACAGCATATGATACCTAGAATACACATTTAATTATAGACTAAAAATCATCAGTAGTCTATAGCCTTTCTGATAATATTCTGATTATATTATTACGTTTTTGAAATGTTTATGCCCTTTTTTCTAGTTTATATTTACTGAAATTTTTGATCCTTACTCTGACTCATTCTGTTGACACTTCATTTAACATTTTTTTTAGATGCCCTCACTGTGGAATTCCATGTGCAAAACCGAATAATGGGGGAATCAGTGTTTCAAGAAGAATGGACATTCAGATGTCGTCAATCTGGGTATGTACATTCAACATTACAGTCCACGAATTTTTTCGTAACGGTTATTGAAGTGTACCTACATATCAGAAGAGCACTCATAAAAACGATTAATTGCATCCGAGAAACGAATGAGATTGGATCACAATGAAAAAAGCAGTTAATATTTGAATGCTTCATACATTTTGTTCTTAAATATAGATAAAGTTTAATACTCCAAAGATTGAATAAGAAATTATCCAAAATTAAATTAAATTAACTTTATTAAAGAAATTACAACAACTTACTTCATTGCTTTTCATATTTCCTGTATTTTTCTTCGGAATTGTGTAACATGATAATCTTGATAATCGTTTCATTTTATTTTTAATTGACAGCGAAGTTTAAGGCAAAAATTTGTACTTTTTGCAAAAATAATGTAGAATCAAATGCGAAATCGTTTCCAATTCTTGTACATCGCCAAACATATTAGATACCAAAAGAAACACTGTTCTTAATTCTGATGGATTCCCCAATTTCTGATAATTGTAAACCAATACATTCCTTCATTTATTTTTGTTATGTTTATAATTGTGAGATAAAAAACTTTAAAACAGCTATCAAAGCCTCATAGAGAGGGCTTAAAAATTTATAACCCATTTTCTTTATCCCTTACTCGGTGAAATACGTGCATTATATGCTTGATGGTCTAAGGGAAAGTTATCTCTTTCCTATCAGTTGTTTCAAAGCCTGTTTTGTACAATTAAATGATCGTCTGGTAAATAAAAACGACCCATAACGCCGCACTCAATCAGCTGATAATTACCAGCACCAATGTAGTACTTGTTTTGTATTTTTTTGCTCGTGTATTGTAAGATTAGCTTGAGTGCGGCTCAGGGAGTTTATATTAACATCCAACCTCTAGTAGCCGTTTATTCTTTTAACGTTTAAATCTTGCATGAGGCAATCGATGTGTAATTGATATCATGAAGGACGAAATTCTTGATTTCATAGAGGACAACCCTTAAAATCGTGTATCGAAATTTAAAGGAACAGTTGCTGTATCCTTATCATTTGCAGCGATTGCAAGTCTTGCTCGAAACTGATTTTATACAATTAAGTGATCGTGATCTCGTCTAACAAATTCGTGAAATATGTGCTTTTGATGACTAATGCGTATAGAATATTCCACTAACTACGCGTAATATGTGTAAGTGCATGGATGGTGCCTTGTAAACGATCAAAAAACAGAGGAGGACGTATGTACCGACAGTTTATGTATATGTGGTACTTCCCATGAGCATTTCTTTTCAATAGTTGTAGAAAAATACGATAGTTAAATTCTTTAACTCGACGTTACAGTTTACGTCCGCTAATTAATCACAGTCGAAATTTTTTGTTCGCTCGGCACGAGATACTTGTTACGAAGTGAACAAATGTGGAGCAAGCAAGTGAGCAAGCGAGCGGGCAAGCAGGCGAGCGAGCTTAGTGGGACGACGGACGGTTGGACGTCCTGCTGGAGCAACAATATGACAGCACCATGGTGGGTCCCGAAGATCAACGTGAGATCGTCCCGTTGTTGAATTTGCAGTTACACTACCAACAATACGACCGATCATATTTTATATCCCGTATCGTGTTGCACGGAAACGAAACAAAAACAACCCGTCGGTAATGACCGTAATCATTATATTAATACGCGAACGTCCAAACTTCTGGTACGTTTTTTCGATATTTGTTTTAAAACTAGCGACAAACCGCCTCACTAGGCTTTCATTCTCACTTACATTATCGGCGATTTTAAACAGTTTTTAGATTACATTGGTCGAAATGTACGTATACAAGGTGCCCTAATACAGTGTCAATTCCATTCCCACTAATAAATAATTCTTCTCGAATATTCCAGAATGTCATCTGCTCTTTCAGCTCAAATTTTAGTTGAGAACCATCCTAAAAACAACTAAAACCATTCTAGCACATTCTCACTTATTTTAAACGAATTTGTGGTAGCCTGTAGTCATGCATTATAAGAAATTCCAAAACTTTTTCATTTAAAGCACTGGTCAAAATTTCAATTTTCAAATTAAAATGCCCCAATATAGCATCAGCTCTGCCACTCACACATAAAGCTTCCAGAAGCTTCTCGATTCTTCCGGTCAAATTCACTCTAGAACATTCCACTTGAGAATAGTCCTAGACATTCGAGAACATTCCAGATGAGGACAAGTCTAGAAGCATTTGATGTTTGGTGGCCTGTGGTCGATCCGTATATAAACCCACACGTTCAAAAAAGTGCACTAATTTCACATAATATTGGAGATTGCATGCAAAATCTTTTCGAAAGCTTTGGTGGAAATTGTAAATAGCCCAGACAAACCATTTTCAAAACTCGTATCTTCGACGCCCTTACCATACACAAACACTATCGGTGTGTAGCTTTAAACTGTCAAAAATTGAGGTTAATTTAGTGGTACAAATGTGAAATGTTGATATATATATATATTATTTAACTTGAAAGCAAACGATTGATTATAAACAATATTTATAGTTCCAATGATAAACCTAGTTCAGTTAAATTTTTGCCAGAAAATTTGTTTTGCTCGATGATCGGTGGAGAAATGAGCTACGCAGACGAATATGATTGAATTTGGAATTATGCTACGGCGCATCCTAATAAATAGAAGGGGCATATCTCCACTTCTTGAAACGAACAGTACATTCTCGCTTATTTTAAACGAATGTATGTCTGTGGTCGTGCATTATTAGAGATTCCAAAAATTTTTTATTTATATATGAAAATGCCTTAATATAGTATCAGATTCGCCACTCACACATAACAATCCGTAAACATTCCTGTCAAATTCACTCTAGAACATTCCACCTGAGAATAATTCTAGACATTCGAGGACATTCCAGATGACAACTCTAGAAGCATTCAAGAACATTCTAATATATTCTTACATTCTAAAATGATGCTTAGTGGCTTAGGGTTGGTAAACCCACACGACCAAAAAAGTGCATTAATTTCACACATTATTGGTGATTAAAATATCTTTTCAAAAGTTTTGGCCGAAATTTGCCAACCACTTTCAACCCCTGTATTTTCTATGCCCTTATAGCTATTGACACGTAACATCATAGGGCTACCACACACAAACACTATTCGTCTATGGTGTGTAACTTTAAATTGTCAAAAATTGATTATTTGAGTAGTACAAACGTGAAAAGTTGATGAAGCAAACGATTTAGTTGGTTATGAACAATATTTATAGTTCCGATGATAAACCTAATTCAGTTAAATTTTTGCCAGAATATTTTATTTTGGTTCTAGTAAAAGCCTCGATAGGTATCAATAAAAAGTAAACAAAATTCATTTCAATAAAGAAATTTAAGCATTCTGTTGAGGAACTTGGTATTAAAGTATAAAGTGCAAAGTAACTTTATCTGAAATGAGAATCTTTTAATAATAATTAATTATCAAGTTATCGATGTACAGGGAAATAAAAACAAAATAAATAGACGGGAAATGAATAAAATTTTTGATATTATCCCGTCAAGTGTACGACGACCACACAAAGTAATCGGTTCGACGGACAAGAAACGGACATTTCGAGAGATCGGAAAGAGTCCGTACACAACATTCCCATGTCTGAGATGCATTTGCTTGATAAATTGTAATGAAGCTGTCGATATGACATGTGATAAGGATCGTTCCGTGGCAGTTCAACGCAACAATAGGCGATTCTTGCTCTCGGTCTTGAGCGAACGCACACACGCACACAAATACACACGTAAATACATTTACACACACAAACACTTTTGTGCACGTATATGTACGTATGCTAAGCATTCCTATTCCAAAAGGAATCTGCCGTTTTGTGTCGTTGCTGCTCGATGGAATTCATTCAATGGACTCGGACGATTTATGATGACGACGCAACGTCGTGAAGCGTCGTCATCTGCTGTGATGCGAAATGTATCTTTTTTCGGAAAACCCTCTCATACACAACATAGTCATGAAAGTTATCGGCAATAATATAAAAAACAAAAAGTTATATACACCCATACATTATAACCATGATTTTATACACAGCATAGTCCATTAAGGGCGTCTTGCTCTCTAGCGGTCTTGCCGTTGAAATTTGAAGAAAATGTCTTATTTTAAATGGAACATCCTGTATACCTATTATTAAATTTTTGAAGTCAGCATCGATTTTAATGTCCAGTTTGTTAAGCATAGTTTTTGCCTGCGCGATATCTTTTTGGAGTTATTTAGTAATTTCAAGAAAATTTGACGTTTGTAGTACCTTACAAAAATTTTAATATCTCCGCAATTATACTCGATAAAAAGATGCGGCTGTTGCTAATGAAAAGAGCATAAAACGCACTTGGCTTTCTATCTAATCATTTCTTGCAAAGCACATTAAATCATTACCTTAGTAATGTTCAAATTTTCATCAATAACTCATTTTTTTTAAATGGGAAGCTATGTTGATTCTGACATCGTCGGATGCAAAAGTAAATTTCCTTTCGATTTTATTAAAGCATATTAGGGTCTACGCTTGACGGTTTTCAAACTAATTATTTTGTAATGTACAGAGAAAACGGATATATCCTAGGCGGCATGGGTCTGTAACCGAAAACACATTCTGTCATGTTTACTCGAATTATTGATAAAATTACTTAAACTCAACACAACACAAACGTTGCCGTGACTTCATGAGCTGAATTTTCTCAAAATGGTTTATTGCTTAAAAGAATAACACTTTGATATAAACAATACTGAGAACAAACTTTATTTACAATAAATTATTAAATATGAAAATGAACGGTTTACACCAACAATGGTACATATTCCGACATCTCTGAAATTTTTGATTTGATGAGGGACACTTTTTACTGGAAGCATCTTCCAATTTCAACGGCATGACCGCCAGAGAGCAAGGCGCGCTTAATAGACTACCCTGTATAAGTAATTCAGTTTCTTTTGAATAATCGCTTGCCTTTGACCGTCATATAAGAAATTTAACTATTAAAGAAGGATTACCTGCAACATATGAGCTAATTCCGATACAGTTTTCAAAGATTCCGATTAGCTTTTATTGGAGAATCTGGCAATACTTTAGAGAGAAATTTCCAAGATGATTTAACAAATTTGTGTTGCCAAAGGGTTCTTACCAATAATGCTGTACCATTTTATATTATTTTAATGATTTCAATTTCACCGTATCATGAGGTATTATTTTCTCTTATTCCGTTGTTTGTCAAAATACTGGATTTTACAATCATCATCGAAACATGCAAAATACTCGATTGTATAAAATAATTCGAAGTGGTCTTTTTAGATCGAAATCGCGATTCGCGTCTGGCAGTTTCGACATAATACAGACCACTTCGAATTATTTTATTCGATTATGGTAACGTGCCTAAAACGTTGAGGTTAGCTACGCCGGGATTCGTTTCAGTAAGTAGATATCCATATGTTTAAATGGACCTTAATCCTAAAATGTAGCATCGTACTACAGGTGGCGTTTACCGCGCCATTTGTGGTATTTTCTAAAATTCGATTGTATGGTCTACATATGAGTTGCGCACAATTGTAGATACATCCGGATATTCGCCGTTCACTAAACATCACGTTTCTTTATTTTAAACGCTCTGTATATCAAGATATACATTTGCAGACACCGAAGTGATTAACGTAGAATCACTTAGTTGGCGGCATTTTGGTGTCAAAGTTAAATATTTCAATCGCACCGACAACTACGTTATTAATGATTCGGCGTAATGAGCGTTTTCTGTAAGTGACCGTATTTGTGCGCGGAACAATAGTATACGGCAGTCAATACTGATTGGCCCATGAACACACATTCACTCACACATACATGCACATACGATACACATCTATTAGGCGTACGTACAGCGTATATCGATACGTATCGGCCACCGAATCTTATTATGAACGAAAACGCATTCGTCTCCATTGTAAAGGCACGATGGGAGATGACGAGGGGTTGTAGAGGAAAATGAAGGGAGAATGACAAGACCTAGCCCAAATGTAACTGTGTTGATCTGTGAGCGAGCCCATGGACCGTAAAATCAAAAATAAATATTTGTTTAGATGAGTAATCTTTTCACTTGTACCAACTGTGGTAGATACTTACCCATTATGAGTTTACGAAAATGAAAAATTAACTTGCAATAACACAAAATATTTGTTAAGGGTTAGATTTAGTTTACACATATAAGTCATTTATTCTTACGTTTAATGATAGTACCTTAAATACGGGTTTAATTTTGTCATTGGTAAGAACTATAACCGAGTTAAAGAGTGTTTTTTGTACATTGTCAGGATGTTCAATTAGCATATTTAATGTTTTCTTTTCTATTTATAAAGCATCAGCAAAGCACAAAAATGTGAAAAAATAAGGTTAGAGTCGATTTCTTAAATTATCTTAGAATCCCGTTATGTTTAGGTTCGGCAAATTTTATTATTTATTAAAAATGATGAAATATAAGCCTCCAATCAGCGGGCTAAACGTTAGTGGGTTGTTATAATAATAATATGCTTTTTTATCTGAATTATACTTTGGAACTGTATTGATGTAACTATTACCAGCTTTCGCATTTCTCTCCAGCATGCGAATTAAATTTACTTCGTTTTTTTCTAAAACGGTAAGCTATCGGAACTGTAAACATTTACTTTATTTTCTTATTTTATAATGTCCTGTCTCCTCCTGCAAGGTTGCTATTTATTTTATAAACACCCTGTACAGTTGAATTCTCATTTATAGTGTGTGTTTGTGTGAGTGTCTCTAAAATAAGGAGCAACCTTGCAGAAGGAGATAGGACATTATAAAATAAGAAAATTAAGTAAATGTTCATAGGTCCCATAGTTGATCTTTTTTGAGAAAAACGTAGTAAAAATTCCGATTCTGGAGAGAAATGCGACAAGGCAATGCCGTATTCAATAGCTGGTAATGTTGTATTTCTTTTGTTGCTGCATCATTATCATTTACAGCAAATACAAGCCTTGCAGGAAACTCATTTTTAGTTTCTAGTGGGTTTTTACATTCCTTGTCAACTTTCCACGCCTCTTAAATATTGAGAATAAACCGAACAATCTCTCAAATCGAACGGATGATTAAAACCGTTGCTTCCAGTCCGCATTTGTAAAATTCAGGTGTTAAATCGAGACACGAATACATTCGCCGCGTTATAACTTTATTAGACAAGATAGAAACCACTGTAACTTATCTTGAATACGAAATTAATGTGTAGGCCGATGTTGCCAGCGCAAAGAAACAGCTTGATAAACATTGTAAATAAATCTAAAATCGGCGTACCAACGCTCCCTCGATTAAGTAATTTACCATCGGACGTCAAATAAACACCTATCAGATCAGTATAAACCGTGGGCAGAGTTAAGACGAAGGATAAAAAAAATAATATACATATACACGTAGGTATATGCATTATGTATGTATATGAACGTAAGCAATCCTGTCCGACCTGAAATGTAACCAGTGTAATTTATTCTGCTTATTAGCGCATGTGGACATAGTCCAGAGCTGCAAATAAAGATTTATAAGGCCAGTTACACGGTATTTATCCTCAAATGAACAATATATTAACAAAATATTGCTTATTTAAAATTAGACTGCGGAATTACGACCAGTTATTTTTTACTTTCTTTTGAAATCTAAAAAAGGGCACAATTAATGGTACTTTTGCTAAAGGTGTTACTTTCGTTGCATAAATATACAGGGTGTAAGAGAAATAAGTGCATAGGTATAAAACAAGAAAATTCAGTAGATGTAAGTCGTACAGTTCGCCGTTTCATGAAAATACAGATAAATTCAATTTCGGCCCTGATAAATACGCCGCACTCAATCAGCTGATAATTACCAACAACAGTGTAGAATTTGTTTTGTATCTTTTTGCTCATGTACTGTTAGATTAGATTGAGTGCTACTCCAGGGTGTGTATCTAAACAACTTTTCGTAGTCGTTTATTCTTTTAACGTTCAAATATTGCATGTGGCAATCGATGTGTAATTCATATCATATAGGACGAAATTCTTTATTTCATAGAGGACAACCCTTTAAATAGTACAAGCGAAACAGCAGGGAACATTGGCTCCTCGTATGTAACAGTGTAGCGGAATTTAAAGGAACAGTTGCTGCATCCTTATCATTTGCAACGAGTGCAAGCTTTGCTTGAAACTGATTTTCAGTCGCGAGTGGATTTGTGTCGGTGGTTCCAATAGCCAATTTTTGTGAAAGGATGTTGTTTACAGGCAAATTTGCTTCACCGGTTATCCTACATAGTTCTGTATGTAATGTACCTACTTATTTAATTTACTTAGTATAAACGTTCTCTGTAATAAAAAACTGTTTGTGTTTACCTTAGACGCTTGATAAACGGCACAACTTACATTTACCGTCGACGTAACTGTATAGTTTAGTTTCTACTGCAGTACAGAGTACACTATTCGGAGATAGCTACGTTGACAATTCACGCACAGGACCGGCTTCAGATTGTAAATTAGTGTGATTGTCTTAAAAATTGTTTTATCCTTAATCACGCTGCTGAACTTACCATAATGATTGTTTATTGCGTCTAGTTTACACCTTCCAAATCTCCGCAATTGTTTCTGTTACACGTTGTATAGTGTCAATATGCTTGGCACATCATAAATCTTATCTATATGCATTTTAAAATTACGCTCAAACGGACCTATGTAATATCTAATGTTGATAGGGTAAAACTCCCAATTTATTTTGATTATTTTTAAAACATAAGCCTTTTAGTTTACTAAATGTTCTCATTTCCTCGGAAAATCTAAATAAATCATCAACGGGAGATGTTAAAACTTCAGTAAGTGCTTACATATACGATTTTGTACTTTCGTATTGGTATAGTTGTTATACAATGAGTTTCCTATTACTTCTATATGATATTTCGAACTTTATAACACTTTCTTGATAAACCTCAGGTTTTATGTGTTAATTTTCATATTCTAAGTACCTAATCCAATTTGTTACTTTTTATACAGATATATGAAAGGTTGCTTCTTATGAATGTAGTATTTTTTAAGGATCATCTCTTGGTGCTCTTTTATTTATGCTTAATTTACTCCTAAAGGATCATGAAAGTTTTTTAAGATTCTCTCGTATAAAAAACTCTTCTTTTGTAATATAAACATACTCAAAAAATAAGGCAGGCAAGTGTGAACAATTATTATTTATGATAGAACAGCTAAATTTGAAACCTTTTACTTTCTCTTTCTTGACTGAAACTGCCAAAATTTATAACCAATCAAACCATAATTTCTCTTGTAAACATGACCATCAGCATTCACAATTGTATTCGTATAGAGGTATAAAAGTGAAGCGTTTCAAAGTTTAGAACTAATCAACCGAAAAATTCAGACAGTTCATACTTTATTGCTTTATTGCCTCTGTACTATTCAGGACGAAGTCAATTCGAGGGATGTGCACGATGTTGAAATGGAATAACACCATACAATACACGACCAGGTATTTTTGGGACACCATTTCGGACCAAGTAGGGCAAGGGGCTTGGGTCCTTTCTGAGAAAAAGCGGAACTAAACTTTAAGTCAATAATAAAAAATACAATACAGCATAAAGAATAAAAGAGAGCATTGAGGCTAGTTTGTAAAATCTTGTAGCAAAAACTCTTTATATACAGTGTGTCCCAATCTACAGGTACCACATTTTTGTTCTACCATATACAGACTGACCGATTGATAAGGAAATTTTATGAAGTTGAACTGTTGATATTGAAAAAGTATCAAGCATAGCACTGTTGCAATTTTATCTAAAACATGCTTTCAAAATGGAGAAGAATTGAATGTCAAAACTTGAATCTTGAATCATGAAAAAATCTAAAAAATTAAACTGATTGTATAAAATAGGGTCTGTTGCAACTTGGCTGAAATTCGTAAGTACGCAAAGAATATAGAGATATGATAGACTAAATGCAGGTAAATTTCAACAAATTTCATTTTACTTGACCGTTGTTTCACGAAACTTTGAGTTCTTCAAAAGTAATACCTCAATAAACTGTTTTCTTGATGAAACAATCATCATGTGATAGAAAATTTGTTGGCATGTTCAGTTTTCAATTAGTGTATCATCTTTTTTAAAGATATTATCACTAAACTATGTGGCGGAGCCCTTACATATTAGCAAAAAAGTTTGAAACTAAAATGAAATATGAGCAACCTTTTTGTTAAAAACTCCGACAAATATTTCGCCAGCTAAATATATCTTTAAAGAAGAACGATGGTTACTTATTTATCGTTTTGTATTGAAACTTTTAAGAGTTTTATTTGGAGATACAATGATCCAACACTCATCGTGAAAGGGGATTAATGTTTTTGAAGTATGGGATGCAAGAAGATTAAAGTGTAATTCCGAATTAGCTCAAATTAATACACATTGGTGAAATTGGTGTTAGGTAAACGCACATGGTGCCAACGAAAAAACGAAATAAAAACATTCATGACTGTTGGTTCCGAAAACAAATAGAACAATGAAGTCACCCTAAGTTGGTCGCTCTGAATCATAAATTGCATCGAGGCAGACAGTTTCGGCAGGCGTAGTGTAGGTACAGATCGAAGGACGTGTATGTACGTATGCATGTATATGTGTAACTTTCACAGCCTGTCGATTGACCGATACCCCAATAAATAAGATGAAAAAGCCGTCAATGGGTGGGGGCGGCTCATGCAGCACGAAGCAGCTGCCGAAATAAAAGAGCAACGCGGTGAACCTTAGGGGGTAGCAACCCCTCCTGCCCGATCCGGCTTTTCGGGAATAGTTGACAATGTTTAACATTTATCCGAACGTGCCAAAGTCGTGCCAAACCGGACACGGCGGGGTGACAAACTCCATAGCAAGCAAGCACCCTCGGCAGTGAATTGCAACCACCCTTCGCGTACGTTTCTATACCGAGATTGCAGCCATTAAAATGAGTGCTTCGACACACGAATTTTGGAACGGTTACGAATATCGGTATCCGACTTACGACGCGCCGCAGAATTACGAAAACGACCCTCAAAAAACCGCCCCCGGTGCAGTTAAAGTGAAAAGTGAGTTCCCGGAAGAATGCGAAAGAAACACATTAAACCAACCCTACTATCAGCCTAATTTCGCTTTACAACCACCTGATTTACCTTACAATTTATTTAGTGGTAATAAGTGTGAAATTTATAACAGCATTAACCGACCCTTAAATGCCTACCAACAATTTCAAGACTTCTGGAATCAAGAGGTCACATCTACAACGCTAATCTCCAAAGAATTACCATGGAACAGTGCTTCATTGCAAACTCAAAAGTTTAGAGACTGCAAAGAGTGGAACGGTGACGAAATACAAGAAGATCTTTGGGCTCATCATGCGGTTCCTTCCCGTCAGGATAAGTGTAAAGGTGGTGTTAGTGAAGTGAACGATCAAAGAGATTCTCCAGCCCTAAGGGCGCTTCTCGAAAGGAAACCGGTTGAATTTGTACCAAATAGAACAGGTGTAGCACAACAGAATTATTTTACCGATAGTAGAGATACCGTTATCGACTCTAACATGGATTTAAGCTCATCGTCTATGTCGCCTTTGCAAAATCTACAGAAGGATAATTTATCACCTGGCAGATTCGAAGGAAAGGAGAAAGCTGACACGTCTTCGGAAGATAATAGCGTGTGCAGTCCCAACGCCGGTACCGTACCACCAATTCATGGCAATATTTTTCCCTGGATGAAAACTGGAGGTTAGTACCTGCTGAATAAATTATTGTTCCTTTTCATTACATGGTGGTTAACAATGAATCTTGGTTCACGATTTCGATATCAACTTGCAAAATGTAGATAATTAATTTTGTTAGATTGTTAAAAATAAAACAATTACAAAAATCAGTAAAGCTAGAATAGCTTTTTCGTTACATAACTTGAAAAAATTATTACATTGCCAAAAAAATTAATCTCGAATAAGTAAAGAATTTCAATTACAATAGAAAGCTCAAATATCTTCAACTATTGCATGGACAGTTTAAATATATGAACATTATATTTTCTTAAACTTAGTTTAGAAACACTAATGCAAAAGGAATAAAGACATTCTTATGTTTAAATTATTTTTACTTTTTTTCAGTTGAAAATGGAAACGTTACGTCAAAAAGAACCCGTCAAACTTACACCCGTTATCAAACGTTAGAACTCGAAAAGGAATTCCATTTTAACAAATACCTAACAAGAAGAAGACGTATCGAAATAGCGCACGCGTTGTGTCTGACAGAACGTCAAATCAAAATTTGGTTTCAAAATCGTCGTATGAAAGCCAAAAAGGATCCTAATAAATTCGGAACTGTCGAATCTTACAGTGGTGGCGAAGACATTAACATGAACAACGATCAAGGTTTAGTGGATCAGGGAACACCTTGTGTCACTCAAACGTGCCCCTCTCCTCGAGATATATCAACGATGGGTCAGAACGGTAACCCATTTGATAATATTGCAAGACCCATGACTCAGTTTAGGAATTTACCCGGACCACCATGCTTATCGTGAACAATCAAAATTTTTATAGTATTAATTAATAAATAGTTACGTTCCTATATGATTTGCCAAATCGAATTTTATATTTATATATAAATAATACAGATAAATATATATTGTAGTAGTTTAATTTCAAATAGAGATTAATAAAGTGAGTGAGGTTTTAGTGTCGTGTTACTCTAGAATAAAAGGTAAATAATATTTCGGAACGTACGATCTAAATCTGAATCACTAAACTGCTTAAAAAATGAATGTCAATTTTTAAACAGTCACCATTAAAACTACAATATTTCCGCGAAATGCAGGCAATTATCAAAGATTTACTTTTAGTATGGTTTGAAATAACTATAATCAGTTGGTTTCAGAAGTAATAAGAACTTAAAGACTGTTCAAATCTACAAAAACCCGTGTAATTCAATAGAATGCATGGGAGACATCAACGTGAGATTAGACGACGAACCCGGCAAATGCATCTGCTGTTAATGTAGGAAAGCGAATTTAATGCAACTGTTCTAGACATGTAATTTTATACAATTATTGACCTTTCAAAGCAGAAAAAGTTTTTTGAAGTAGGCGCTGACACACTGAATTAAGGCTTTTTGTTTATTACATCCAAAAACTAGCGTTTATTTCGTATTCACAATAAATAAATATTTAAACACGAAAATTCTACAAACGCTTAGAAGAATGAGTGAGGATGACACCTTAGATGTCGAAATCCTTATTAGCTCTAAACGTTTTGTGGAATTTTGGACTTTAAATGCTTATTTAGTTACGTTCCACAGCACTTTTATATTTTATGTGTTCACAGTAAATACCAAAAAAAAAACCAAATAAATACTTGATAGTATCTCACACACCTAACCTATACTACCACAGTACTGTTGTTACTTTGACACCAAAAGTGGCGTTTTTAAATAAATTTTGTAACGTTTTTAAACTTATTTATTTTTTACTTATAAATAATATGACAATACATCAAAATTCTTATAACCAATCAATTACATAATGATAATCAGTTCAATGAAAATACATAAATTTTCCCAATAAATTTTCTTAAACTAAATGAATAAATAGTAATTCTTAAAAATGTGCCATTGTCCTACAACTTCTTTATTTCTTTACTATTTCAGTACTTACAAAGGTATTTTGAGAATAGCATCAATGTTTTCTTCAGAAATTTTCGATTGCTATTTGGGATATTTAAACATTTACGTTCGAAATAGAATAAAGATAAAACCTTTAGGCAATACATTACGTATATAGTTATGAACTAGAACATTAGCTATTCACTGAGTTTTTTTTTAATTTTTTAAAAATTTACTATCCGGTTTACTCGCAAAGATCTAACGTCAAAATTAGCATCTCGATAATCGAACTAATCTATAAGTAGGTATGTGAAAATAGGATAACGTCTTTACTACCCGGATTTTTAATTTTTCAGCGATATGAATATTTATAGATCGGACAGATTTGTCTCATGAAAAATTGGTTTCAAAATGCAGCGTGCTTTCGTCAAGCCTGCATATATTTTTATGAAGAATGTCTAACATATTCATTCTCAAGTTGAGAATTTGTGCGCCACTATCCATTATTCATATCCTTAGCGAATGAGCATCTATCAAAGTGTAAATATTTATTTGTATAAGATTTTGTAATTAATATATTTCTGCGATGTATCGGGATGCATTTACATATTGCTGAAGTTCCTAAAAAGTGTTTTCGATTAATTAGGATGTCTGAGATAGTTTATAAAAATGACTGTGTGTACGCCTTATACAGAGAAATAAATTATTAACGTATCTCTTTTGATTTATACTTGCTGGTAAGCGGCAGCCTACCCAAATTTATCAACAATTTTCAAACACCTGGCTGACCACATTTCTGCTAGAATGGAAAATTTGTTGTGACTTTGAAAATAATTTTGATTAGTTCTATTTTTAAATCATATTTACTGTTACACTAAACTCTATTATTATTCATAAAATCCAAACAAATATCAATACATTGACATTTAACAATTTGTGCTATTACAATTCAATTTTAGGAGGCCGAGTATAAGAATCAGAAAACAGTATTATTCTGACTTTTTAAATTGGTTTTTATAATTTTAATATCGATATAATGATAATATTATTCATGCTAAAAATGAACCTATCCGAAAAAAAATTTTACTTAATGGTTTCGGAAGAACATAACGTTCTGAATTTTAAAATAATTTATTCTGATCTTGCGGATAGTTCTCGCTTGATCGGCCTTTACTTTGGAAAATTTTAGCACCTTTATCCTTTAAGCCGTGTACTTTTGTTTGTTTTGTTGATATTTTGTTTTTGTAATTTGTTTTATTTAAAGGTATGACAATATCTTCTGTACTTAGTCAAGAATCCGTATACATTTCTTATTTTATTACATTTTTAAATTCATTCAACAAAAACAAGTTTAAAAGAAAAGTATAATCTAACTTATCTTTACGTAAATATTTATCATGAAAATATAGCAAACTTGGTATAAAAATTTTAGAAAGCCCAATATGCAATATACATAATATCATTTTTTTAAAATTAAATTTTGAATCTTTCCCGTTTATTACCAGATTAGTGGATATCCTATACTATAAAACGTATACATATTGGTACAGTCGAACTTCTGCATCTCGAATATTTTTTGACCCTTTGATATACCTACTGAAACTGTTTTATGTTTATTCTAAAAATTTTAACTCGAATTTGTTCGTTTCTCTTACTCGAATTTTTCTCCACCTCGAGATTCAAGTGAAAGTTTTATATTGTAAATTGTCTGTTTAAGTTGAACTTTTATTGTCCTCTAAACAAAAATTATAATACTTGACGGTAATAAAGAAGAAATTTTCCTTAACTAGGATTTTCTCTAACTCTAACTTAATTGGTTGCATTTAAGAGGTGCGAGTTAAGGAAATATAACTGCAATTGATGAACCCCAATTAATAGTTTGTTAAATAAAAAATATCTACGCAATAAAATTCAAAATTCATTATACGTATAGCGAACACAAGTTCCAGCAGTCCCAATAACATTTTTTATTAATAAACTCTGCCAAGAATTCGAGTTGCAAAATTAAAATCTTTTAAACTTTAGTACAACTGAAGTGAACGCATTTTAATTTGACTCGGTTTTAATTAATAGTAGAAGAAATTTAAACGATCAAGAAAAACAAATAAATTGTTTTTTTTTTTATATCGGCCTCACTCCACTTTTCAAATCACTTTGTATTAATAAAAAAAAAGGACATACTACGGGATTAACAGAACAATGCTCACAAAAATATTATAATGTACCTAAATAAAAATGAATTTAAACTTACAATGAATGGGAAGTCCCTCTTCAGTCTCCTGTAAGGAATCGTGAGAGTGTGTGGATACTGGGATGAGAAAGATGACACGGATGATATGGAGATAGAAGGTATTGAAAGATTATTTATCTGTGCAATATTACTGCTTTAGCATTTGCCTAAATTATTTAAGGAAACCAGAGAAACCCTGGACTAGGGTGGTGGACGGACCGACCCGGAATCGAACCTGTGTCCTCTCGAATGATAGGCAATGGTCTAAACCTCTAGGCCATGCCGCTCGGTACTATGCTAACAGCAAAAAAGGACTATAGTAGATATCACACATCTTTGGAACTTGTTATCACTAGTCTAGGATATCTCAAAATTTAAATCTACAGCAGCCTTACTATAGTTTGGTTATACACGATTTTAAACATGCTTAATCAACCTTACAACATCTAAAGCTGAAACAAAATAATTATCTTTCGGTTTCCCAAAATTCTTAGGCAAGATTTTATTTTTCAAAATCTAAATTTCATTTACCAAAATGCCATATATACTTTTCAAATTTGGGCTTATAATGTCCTAAGGTAAACGGATACAGCTACCCTTCTAAGAAGGTGACTTTTACAACCGTAACGGCACTTTTATTGGAGACCCACGTTAATTGCTTCTAAGCAGGGATGACTTTAAAGGGATGAAAGGATTGTTAAGTCTATGGACACAAAAACAGTTTAGTTACGGAGCAAGCTAATCCTCCGTATCTATTACAAGGCAACCCTTTGTATGTATTATCGGTCCCAAGGGGGCGGTGTTTACTACATATTTTGACAAATTTACATGAACTTACTGGTTATTAATAATATAATCTTCCAAAAGCTGTCAACAAATCTTTGAAATATTTAAGCTTTCTTTAAAGGATTATGAAGAAGTGTTTTGACTAAAATACCGCCCTCAATGATGTATTATCTCGCTTGCCAGAACGGAATGCATCGACAGAAAATTTTAATCATTTTTTTATTAGTAAATAAATTAATGTCGGAATACTCTTATTTTAGTTTGAGATCAAGTGAATTAATTGTTATTAAGTACTCCAGTAAAATCATTTTATAAAGATGTACTATTATTTAAACATGGAAAAATACTGTCTGTATCACTAATAAGAATTTTTGGTAATTTTTATAAATTTTATAGTAAAGAAACTATGTATTGGATTTTGGGATATCTTTGATTATGTTACATAAATAAAAATAAAGCGAATCTTTAGGACAAAAATTGAAAAGCAGAATTTCTGTTACAAATAATAATTAGCATTTGAATTCAAGTTAGAGTTTCAGATAAGATAATGATTATAATTTTTAAAGTTCTTTTTGTTATTCAATTCGATACGAAAATACGAAAAAATAGATAAACTCTATGAAGAGATCTGATCCATTTGGAGATTAAAATTGTGGGCTACTATAAGGATTACTTAATTACTAATTATTCTTATTATTTGTTTATTAAAACATATAATACCTCCACACAAATTTATTTTAAGCGACTTAAATATTGTAACCAATTAAACTGAGTTGCTCGAAAACAATTCTCCCCTGATTATTATAATCCCGGAAGCCTTAGTAGGTTTGCGCAGTCATTTATTTTTAACTTTATTAGAGAAATTATACACTATTGAATAACAGCATTAGATCTATTTGAATGAAACAAGAAGGGATGTTTTCTTGGATATCTCACTTAAATTATGCCATAGCTTCAAACAACTCTATCACCATTAGTAGAACTCTAATAAATGGTCAAATTTCATTCAAATCGGAAAAGCTGAATTTGTTCATAAA